AACCCTGATGCTTGGAAGTGGAGACAAAAGGACCAAGAAGTCAAGGCCAAGAGTGGCTCTATAGGAGCTCAAGTCAGCCGGGGCTACTTGAGACCCTGACTCAAAAAGCCTAAAAGCAAAACAAACAAATGAACAAACAATCAAAAAAACGAAAAAGGATTGAAATTAGGTTTTCTTGGCTCTAGGCCTGGAAGCCTTCACAGTCCCTCTCAAAAGATCAGTTTTAGGGCCAAGAAGATACAGCAGGAGCCATCAAGTCATATGCCTCTTTGGAAGCATATTTTCCCCTCTTATTGAAAATAGATTTGTTTTTCCTCTCACAAACTGTATCTTGATATGGTTTCCCTCCCTCTCCACTCCTGCTAGTTCCATCCAACCTCCCTTCCCATCCGGATCCACCCGCTTCCTGCCTCTCTTTAGAAAACAAACAAGTCTCTAAGGGATAATAATAAATACTGCAATAAAATGAAATATAATAAAAAAAAGAAAAGCTGCTAATACATCCGAATAGGACAAAACAAGCAAACGGAGGAAAAAGAGCTCATTCACACACTCAGGAATCCTATAAAAACACTAAACTGGAAGCCATAATATACATATACAAAATGGACCTGTAGAGTAAGAGGAGAGAAGAAAAAAATATACAATAGAATTAAGATTAAAAATAAGATAAATTTTTTTTTTAAAAAGGGAAGAAAAAGGAAAAGCCCTGTCATGACTTTTTTGTTTGTTTTTTGAGACAGGGTTTCTCTGTGGTTTTGGAGGCTGTCCTGGAACTAGCTCTTGTAGACCAGGCTGGTCTCGAACTCACAGAGATCCACCTGCCTCTGCCTCCCGAGTGCTGGGATTAAAGGTGTGCGCCACCACCGCCCGGCTTGGTTTTGGTTTTTGAAGACAGGGTTTCTCTGTAGCTTTGGAACCTGTACTGGAACTCATTCTGTAGACCAGTGCTGGTCTCAAACTCAGAGATCCACCTGCTTGACATGACATTATGAGACAAGGAGCCTCCTAAGATGCCATTGAGTTTGTTTTCTGTTGACCATCTGCTGCTGGGCACAGAGCATGAATCTTAAGAATATACATAGTAGTGTAACTTGAGAGATGGCTGAGCAGGTAAAGGCACTGGCTTTGCAAGCCTAATAGCTTCAGTTTCCTCCCCAGAACCCACTCAAGAAGCTGCAATGGCACGCATTGAGAATGCCAGCACATCTGCGGTGGATGGAAGGTAGAGACAGGGGAATCTCTGGAAGGTCAAGGGTCAGCTAGCAGGATGTACAAAGCCTAGCATTAAACAACAAAGACAAACAAGGTAGAAGGCAAGGAGGGTGATTAAGTAGATGACTCATTTTAAAAGAAACTGAGAAGTTATTTTTTGGAGTACTGCGCCCAGGAAGAGTTGGAGCCTTGAGAAAAAGGCAGATGAAGGGTATTTGTCATGGAATGTTCTTGATCTTGGCTCTACCAATGTCAGCAGGCCCGTAGTTGTACTAAATGTAATTCTGCAACTGACCATGTGAAACATTGTATAAAGGGCCCTTGTAACTTCTCTTTGTGTTTCCTTTTATAATTTAAAACTTATATTTATTTATTGTGTGCAGAGTTGGGTCTTTGCTTTCATGATGTGTGTCCTGGAAATGGAACTTCCATCTTTGGACTTGGTAACAAGTGCTTTTACTTACTGAGCCACCTCACTGGCCTCTGTTTCTTATCACTGCATGTGATAATTTGAGCTCAAAGATCCAGCTCATAAGTTGTGTTATTATTATTAATTTACAGAAAAATTGAAAAAAATCTCATTTTTTTCCAGTTAATTTTCAGTTTGCATCAAGGTTATAAAAATGTAAATTGAGCCCCGGTGGTGGTGCATACCTTTAATCCCAGCACTCTGGAGGCAGAGGCAGGTGGATCTTTGTGAGTTTGAGGTCAGCCTGGTCTACAAAGTGAGT